GTTAAAGATCCCTTGGTGGTCTAAAATCGGTAAGAGTAGGCTTCGGCCGCCACCCGGGCAAAATTCAAAATTTCCTACCAACTGAAAATATTAGGAGTGTCCCGCGCGCTCATATGACCTATGCAGTTGCGAGCGCCGTAAAAACTTTACCAGTAAACCCCCCCCCCCCCAAAAAAAAAAAACTGCATTCCACCTGACCTGTCTATTGTAGGGAAGAGTGTCGTTTTGGTGGACACTTTCAAACGGAACGGAATTCTCACTGATTGTTAAGGGGGAAACTGGCGTTCCGTTTTAACAACCGACTTTTCAAGAAACGGACGACTTTTGGATAGGCAGTTTGTGATTTAGTGGACATGCGGGCTCACACGATCTAAAATGGAACTGAGCCAAAAGGGGGAAATGGCCCTCTGGGGGGCTTTCATAAAGTGGATAAGATGTCATCATCCGCTGTAGGGTAAAGGTCAAAACTTGATGGACAATAAATTAAATTTTGGTTTGAACCGATTTTAATACATATATTCCCTAGGAAAGATAGATCTACTTTATCGTTTTCGCTGAACGGAAATCCTTGTAAATCTTGAACAACCAGTTTGTATAAAAACGAGGGAATCGTAACAATTGTAGATTTAGAGCTGTCACTGTTACGTTCTCCACTTCAAAAAGAGAAACAGGCCATTTTATTGCGAATAAACTTTTCTCAAAGGAAGAGTGATTTTACGGGTGCCAGTCCACTTTGCGGGCTTGCGTGATACATTATCCCTTTTACCGAAAGTCTCGCTGACCAAGCTCTACCTGTTTTGTAGCAATAGATGAAAAAATTGGTTAGGGTGGTTTTGGTTTTGGTTCCGTTTATGAATTTAGGTTTGGATTTGATTAGGATCTGGTGGGTAAGGGATTGGGTATTAAATCATGCAGTCATTACATGTATTAACATCTCAAGCCTTACACAAACAAGGAGGGAAAATGTTTAGTTTTATGAATTGAAGTATACGTAGATCTTTAGTAAACTGTCATGCAGAAATATTTTGTCAAACTGGTCGGGTGGTAGACCGTCTAGTTAAACAGAAATATCGCTGGAAAACGCGAAGTGGATTGGTATCCCTTTAATAATCTTTTGTCATCATCTACAAGACGATATCAAGATTTAAGCCTGGTATCACACAGTCTCGGGAATGTGATAAGATGCAAAAATACTTAGCATTTTGCATTATGCAGCCGAACCCGCCTAGACGGCCACCAGTCCAAGACCTGTACAAACGGCCACTTCACACTCCCCCCTTCTATTTCTTAAAACTATACCCCCAAAAAAACCCACTGCTTAACAATGCAGCCTGTCCAATACGACCACTGTATTGTATCAACCAACAGCCCCCAACAAGTCATTTCTATGATGGGCACACATATCTCTTATTGCTCGGCGAAAAACTATATGTACAGGGTTATAAAAAACAACAACCTGTACAACTTTTTTGTTAATATTTTCCTCCACACCGAAGTTTTGGGCTTCAAATTTGTACACAACATTTGGAAGTCAAAAAGAATTTGTCTGATATTCATTTAAGAAAAATCCACATTATAGTTTTGTTTTACACAACGCATAAAAAAACAACCCATTTTCAGCCATGTCCCCATTTTTGTAGCATGACGCACTAGTTCGCATAAGGCCTACCACAAAAAATCCCAACGATTGAGCCATAACGCATACAACAGTAGTCTAACAGGCCAACAGAAGTTTTCAGAGTGTTTGTCTCAAGTATCCTTTGCCTGATGTGATCATGGTTAAGATTAGCAAAGAGCGGAGGGCTTTTTGTATTGAATATTTTCTCACCACTAACTCATTTTGTAAGTTTTTCACAAGGCACAGAAATAATGTTAAAGTGCCCTTAAGGCCTCCTTTGATGTCAAGAGTGGAAATGGTCCATCAGTTAGTACCTGTAAAGAATCAGAACTACAAATTCCCAGATAAAACGACCATTTCAGGTCAAACACAGACCGTTCGCATCCCTTTAAACGTCACCGCAAGGTGCAGAATTCAGTAGGTGAACCCCATGAGATGTCTGTCCGTAGACGATGTCTGCAGCAATGACTTGGCTACATCTCAACTGCCCCCATTCTCAAGGCAGATCTTCATCTACAACTGTACCATTTTCCTGTTCACGGAGCTATCAGTTATCAGGGGATAGCACTATGTTCATGATTCCTCGAAAGTCTTGAAAAGCGTGAACATTTCCGCTATGACATTCGGTTCCTTGGCAAAGCCCATAATATTCACCTTTCAGGTTACATCAACTCCACAATAAATGCTGTCTGTTTGAGCAGCCTCACCACCTCCCCCTATTGTCTCTAGGAACAGATCCATACTTTAAGGTTTACAGTGTATGTGGCTTTGAGAACTCGTGGTTGAGTGGATCCTTGTGTTTGGCCACCACTGAACATTACGAACGACGCGTTAAAATGTGTCGAGTCCAAAGGAGGATTGGTTCTCGGAATTACAACAACAACAAAATTAACTCTGTAGGAGAAAAGAAATACAGGGATGGAAAGATTAGATTTTAAAAATAAAAGGAAAGGAAAAATCAAACCAATCATTTCATTACTTTCCATACAAAATCTTTTAAATTGGCGCATTTTGCATTTATAGGTGGTTTTTATAAAAGCCATTTCCGTTTTCAAAAATAAATTTGTTCTTTGTGAATTTTATGTCAAACAAATTCCTTTGGAATGAATTATATCTGTTACAAATTACTACATTCTAGTACACATTTTGTGTGAGATATTTGTACAGTTGTTGTTTTTTTGGATCACCCTGTACATGTACATAATTCTTCCTCCTCCTCTTCTTCTTCTTCTTCTTCTTCTTCTTCTTCTTCTTCTTCTTCTTCTTCTTCTAATTATTATTATTATTACTATTATTATTATTATAACGGTTGTATTATGTATCGGCCCCTGACATTGTGGCCTAGCCGTCATAATCCATTCACCTGTCGCTGGTGTGTGCCCCTCCTATAAACCGCTTGCTGACCACAGCCAGGTAACTTGTCCTTCCTGTGTTTAACTCGCTTGAATTGATCTTTTGGGTTAAATTATGATCTTTTTCTCGGGTCTCAGCACCTCATCTTCTTTACAGCTCCCAGCGAGTAATCTGAACTTCGGATGAGTTTATCTTTTTTTACTGCCCCGACGACACCAACTCATCCATAGTCGACTGTAATTATGTTTGGTTTAGCACATGGTACGTAAATCTCGTCTGACATATTGCATGTATTCCCTTTTGTTTTACCCTCGTACACTGCCTTCCTCGCCTAATAAACTTACAGCAGATGACACCCCCCCCCCCCGCCCTCCCTTCTACGTTTAAAACAAGCAACACCCCCCCCCCCCCCAACACACACACATACAAAAACCAAAGTTTCAATGGCCCTGACAGTCCTCGGCTTGCAACTGCCACGAGTTACAATCTCAGAAGGGGGTGGTGGGTTCTTCTTCACTTTCATTAATCCTGCTCAAAACATCCACCTGTCTAATTAACATCAAACACTGTTCTCCTCGACAATATGTGGCTGTTTTATATTAGAGACAGCTTCGACTGTTGGGTACTTGTATTATATTGGCAGAAAATAGGCCTAGCTTTGATAGTAATAATGTGTCTTCCTTGTAGGATAACAATGCCTTCGGGGGTGGGCGCGGGGTGCAGAAATGGCTAATCAGGCCGATCGTTCGTCCTGAAGTGTATGTTACTGTTGCAGTCAGGGCAGGGGAAGTGTGGGCTGAACTTGCCTGGGAGGTGAAGCTCTCTCGGTCTTTATTCCCAGCTGCCATGCCTCTGACGCGTCTCTCTTTTTTTACAGAGTGACTCCAGATCTTATTAACTGAAAGAAGGTTAGAAGTGCAATCTTGAGCAGCTGCTACTTCTTCCCAGATGGGAAATGTTGCATTGCTTTAGGGTTGTCTTCAGCTCATCTTTACAGCGGGTTCTTTTCTGTGCCCCGAGAGAGCGGTTGCCTCAGGTCAGAGCTCACCATCATCATCATTGCCTTTCTCACCCCGGATCAGGATATCGGCCACGAGCAAGCACCGTCCACCTTTCCCTATCCTGGGCTAGTCGCTTGATTTCACTCCATGTCTTCCCACTTTCATGTACATCCATTTCTGTGACTTTTCTCCAGGTTTCCGGTGGTCTTCCCTTTGATCTTTTACCCTGTGGGTTCCAATCTAACACGCTCCTT